ATCAAACTGATATTTATTAAAACAGCTTCGAAAATGGTTAACGGTTATGGAACAATAATGTTCGTGGAACATCGTGAGTACCTAGGGAGGATAGGGAGAGGCCTTTTAAGCCAGTTCATCTCATTTTTTATATTAAGCTCCGCATATTACTACTTTAGAACTATATTTTTTGACGTTTGTAGAAAAAATTTTGTTTGCAACTCATGAGCGAAATACTTTGGTCATCTCGAATATTTTTCTAACCCGACTGCGACTCGTTGAAAAAAATCAGTTCTTGATCACCAAAGTAGCATTTCGCACATTAGAAACAAAAATTACTATTCTATATATCTTATATCTCATCTTTATAAAAGAAAACAGGCTCTATTCTATAAACTTTGGGTTATATCGTACAAAATTTGTACCGTAATTTTGGTTTACTACGTGCAACATTAACTCAACATGATCAATCCAGTCTCCCTTTAAGTCCCTTATCTCCCTGTGTTTCTCTAAAGCTATTTGCTTTTCTCAACCGACAAATGCTTCGTTCCCACACCTCAACGACAATAATAATTTCACCACGAAACCCTTCGGCGTGTATGTGGCAACACCGCCAACCCAGTCGGATCTCTTCATTGAGTTCATGCCACGGCTTGCTCCTCTTGTGTGCCACTTCAATTCGAGCGTTGCTCCCGCTCTAATTTCTCTCCCGCTCAATCGCTCTATCCCGTTTTCTACGGACTGTCCTGTACGAGAAATGGGATTCTCGAAATCGGGTAAAATTTTCGGGCGAAGCGTGATTTTTTCCATTGGAATTGGGTGACTCGCAGTGTGCTTAGAGAAAGGTTAGTGGCTGGTGACGTGTTGTTTAATGTTGTGTGTGATTGTCATTGATCCTCTGAGAATTGTTTATTCATATTCATGATTATTCATACGTATTCTTATGACTTCCAATGTTAAGTCTATCAAAGTGATTATTATTTTGATGATTTCGGAAACAAAGGAGGAAGAGAAAGTCATAAAAATCCAATACTGTCTGTCGAGCTGTGGAGTAGGTATTATTTGGTCTACATTTAGGGACATCTGTTTCAATAATTTTTCAAAATAAGGTGTCACTGACTATTGATCAGGGTTGGCACGAATTAATTCATATGAATTAAGTCACTGATTTAATTCGTGGACTAATTCAAATGACTTGGTTTTAAGAAGTCATGAATCAATTCAAACCGAGATTCAATCTAACTGAAACTGAAAACTTCGATAGCATTATTGCAACCTGATCATCATAAACATCAAAACATCTGACAACCGGTGAGCGCCCACAGGGGCCAGAACTAACTTTTCTAAAGAAAATTCTCAGTGAGTAATAAGTTCCATATGCAGTCATCATATAGTTATTTGTTTAACTAGGCAGCAAAGTAGTAGATTGACTGCCGAGGCTGAATTCATAGCCGAGCGTATCGAGGCTAGGAATCCAGCTAAGGCAGTCAATCTACTTTGCTGCCGAGTTGAACATATAATTTTTTCTCCGATTGTTCATAATGATATAGGAGGATATTGTAATTGCAAATAATTACAATTCCAACAATCTCTTTATTTTTCCTGTAGTGTTCAATTAAAATGAAATTTGATAGAAATCGCCGTCGTTGTCCATGATAATTATAGTTTGACAATTTATGAAAATTCTGACAGTTGTTCGAAAAAATATCGGTATATTCAAATTATCATATAATGGACAGTGATAGCGACCTGGAATTACTTGAACCCCCAGAAATAAGGGAGGTGGCAACAAATATAGAGTTGAATTTGTTGCCGGAGAAGTCTCGAATGAAATATGAAGGAAATTATAAACGATTTATGGATTATTAATTTTGCTGATAGGTATCAATCAGCAAAATAACCACTTTGCTGCCTAGGCATGAAAAGTAATACTTAGCTGATTGATATGTGTCAGCAAAATTAATATTTGCTGCCAATTGGAGAAAAATGTATTTCCAATCAATGAAAATTGCATGTTCCTTGATATTGAAAATACAAACTTAGTTTATCTCATCGCCTTTTTCGTATTTCGTTGAGGTAAATATAGTTAGATTTTTGTTAATGTCATTCAATTCAAAAATAGTCCGAATTTGTTAGAAAATTCAGATTTTTTTACTTTTTTATAAAAGTCATGACTTCAACCCTGCTATTGATTGGAATTTGTCTGGTAGTTGTTCTAATAGTGAACATTTCGAACGCAGTGGGGCAAATCATCTCATTCGTTCGTACTACACATGATTGAAATGATTCATATTTTTATTCATGAAAACAAGGACATCTTGATCTGTGCATCATACTGGCCCTCTCGATTTCCAAGTGATATAAATGAGTCATATTTTGAACACAGAATTTAAAAATGTGTAATGACGAACGCTCATGGCTCTTGATACTTGACAGAAGGTATAAATATCGTCAGTATTGAAATGGACCAATCAAAGGTTGTGGAATCTAAATTAACCAATGACAATTCACCTTCACATTATCCAACAACATATAATCTCAAGAAGTTAAAAAAAAAACGATACCTACCTCCTGTCCCTATCCTCCCTAGGAACGCACGATGTTCTTTGAACATTATAGGGATTTTCTTTCGTGCGCTCCAAGCGATAAAAAAAACATACGCCCTTCGAAATCATCCAATTGAAGAAGAAAAATTAACTCTAGTTAGGAGGGAGAGGGTTATTGAATGTTCCACCGAAAATGTCAAATTATGCCTTCCTGTATAGAATTCTTAACGATTTTCAGGATTTTCCTATGGATTTTGTAGGCCTGCACATTTTTATTTCACAAACATTTTCCAAATTTATTCCAGAAAGCGTCAAGTTCATTTCAGAATAGTGAGTTGATTTTTAGAGGTCAAATGAACTGAAAAATCAGTTTCTAGTTAGAAAACGTCAACAAATATTTTGGTTGATGATAATTTGTGAAATCCCATAATTTTCCCTTGAAATTATTCAAGAAAATATATGTATTCTGGAATGCTTCATTATTATTTCAGATAATGTCAATATTCATATTCATCAGATTCAGAAAGATCAGACAAAATTCCATAGGAACTGCTTTTCAATTTGCTCGACAATCTGACCGATTCAATGAAAAATTATGGAACAAAAATGTTCGAATGAATTTTCAATTTCGATCTGCTAATAACTCTTAACTTTCAACTCTGGATTCATGTGAATTAATTTTTCCTACATTTTTTGCATTGAAATTAACAGAAGAGAGTTGATCAGATTTTTTGATAATTTGAAATGTTAGTTTTTGATCGAAATTGTAGATAAATATGATGAGCCGTGACTCGATTTTACAATTTTTTCACGAAGTAGGCCCTGTTTTCATTTCATAATGTGACGTGGCGAGAGAACAAAAAGTATCAAATCCAATTCTGTTTTTTTCATATTTCGAATAAAGGTAAATGTTTCTTGAAACCTAACCTGTATTTCCATTCCGCCCGATGGGTCAATGAATTCAACGTCTCCAGTATAACCTACATATCAAATTTGAGGAAAATATACTGGGTAGTTCAATACTCATTGACGAGTGGATAATTATTCGGAATCGATCAATCACCCTGTACCTCCGTTATAAAGACTGTAAGACTCATCAAATATGGTATTTTCAGAACCACCTTAGCGATTTCTATCTACCATTGAGATATTTCCCTTTACCTGTGACACAGCCTGTATACATCAACTCGTCTTGATTTTCCCTACTCACCATTTGGCTTTGTGATTTTCTTCATTAATCACTCTGTATATTACAACCTGAAGGCAGTTAGCGAACGCCCTTTTCACTAGAATCAAATCTCCATTCGTAAAATCCCGCAATTTCCATCGCTGTCGATCGGGAAGACGCTATCCCCAATTTCACTTAATTTTTCACAAATTGCCATTAGGGAAACCTTTCCCGTATTAGCCGTCTTCTTTGTTGGATTTCCCGAGGACGACGGAAATGGGGATAATTGAAGAAAAATCGGCTTTATTGCTATTTCGGAACAGCCAGTTCAGCGAACATCAAGATACGTGTTCTAGTACTGCTGCGATAATCCAAACAAGGAATGAAAGGTTGACATTCGAAAATAACAAAGAGTTTCATTGTTACGTTTACAATAGATACATGCTCCTCTGAACAAAAGAGATATGAGCGATAGAGAATAAAATTGTGGGCAACTCTGGGAAAATGGAAAAATATCTGGCTGTATGCTGAATTTTTTTCACCACTGTATAGGTTCTTCTTAAATGTATTGCGATGGTTTTTAGATTTCTGCAGGATGCGAATACATTTCTATTGTCGACTATAGCCTTGAAAACTACCATGATATACCTTAATGATCTACTATTCTGAAATACCTGAACGTGTCTATGGAACAGATACAGAGGGTGATCAGAATTCTGAATCTTGAACCACCCTGTATTTGTTTCAATTAAATGTCAGTAGATAGTAAATCGAAAGTAAAGATGGGAACATTGGAGCGGTTCTGATCGATAATGAATAGTTTCGACACAAAAAAATCCTAAAGTTGGAAAATCTAGATTTTAAACACCCCATACCTATGTATTCATTCCCGCTAGACCCCAAGTGTGATAGATCGATGGAATTAGCTCTTCAAGGAGAATCTGTAAATCCAATTAATTACAGGGTGTTCCATTCAAAATAAGGAAGTTAATAGAGAATCCGGTATAACTGAAAAAGTGGCAACATTGGCTATAACATTTTCAAATCTGCCACGTTGAAATCACACAGTACATAAATTCGAAAAAATCCAACTACAGGTTACCGAGATATTCACCTGTTTCCATACATATCAGCGACCCTGTATCATTGACCGTTCTTAAATACTGAAATACAAGTGGAAAAGGTGTGAATAATAAACAAATTAATATCGATCTCTGATGCAATTGTAACTCATACATTTTTTCAATCATTATAGTTTTGAGTCTGATTGTGAACTTCTATTTTATAAATTTGATTTTTGGTTTCAGAAAACTGGCGCTCGAATCAAGATCTTCTCCAATCTGGCACCGCAAAGTTCTGACCGTGTCATCCAAATTACAGGGGAAGCTTCAAAGTGCATCGATACCATAAGGGAGGTTCTGACCCTAATCAAACAGGTATGTTCAAATTGGATTACATCAGAAAGGTTATATGCTGTGCAGATTTGAATAACCTATTATTCCTATTTTTGCAACTAATCATTTCATTATTTCATGATGTAAGGGGTATTCCGGGTATTTGTGTCAATGAAAATGACGATTTCTATGTTAATTATCCAATTGGCGGTCTAGATTTCATGCGAATTGTTAGTTCCCTCATAAAAACTGGAAGTAATTTACGAGGGATCAGGAATATCAATAGACAAACAACATGGAGATAATTTTCTTCTAATCTTGATATATTTTTTCATCAGAACAAACACCTGGCGTATATGAAACAAATAATATGCATTGTACCATTCTGCCAATGTCAAAATGGCTGACAAAACTGCGAACATTCAACTTCGAGCATAGGAATTGTGATGGAAATACATCTTGAAAAACGTTGGTATTTTGGATTCTTGAAAAAGGTATATTTCAAATTCCAGAATTCTTGTATTCAAAACACTTTGCTCATGAGCATTTATTATGTGTTTGCATCTACGTTATCCTTGTTATTTCGTGTGTAAACAAGATGAACATAAAAAAAACAGTTTCGTTGAATTGCTAGGAAACGCTCAACAAAAAGTTGTGATACAATTCAAGAAAATCGTAATACTTCGTGCAACACAACATTCTTTGTCTTGAACCAGTTTTTTTTTTCAAATTGATATTATCCCTTTCCACGAATATGCCTGTGAAAATTGAGCCGGACACCCAGTAAGTATATTTGAAGTGCTTTCAATAATGTGTGCTAAGCGATTCACATTTTCATGGAAGAATTTATAATCAAGTCAATTCCAGATAATTCGGAATTTTCTCATTGTGTTTGCCTTATTCAAACTGTATTTTTCTCATTTCTTTGACTCATCAATTATTGAGAAATCATTCATTCTCTGTTCTAAATAGAGACTGAAACTGAGACACATATATTTGCACGGCTCCGATATCAAATTTCACGTCTCTAGATCATAATACCCTTGATATAGATAGTGAAATAAGATACTTCCATTTTCATTTTATTCAACAAATCGTATCATCTTCAAGTTGATAATGCATTATTGAAATTTATTTTGATATTCTTGCCATAGCACGGTGTAGTATTTGTGAAGAATGTTCATATATACATTATAGGTACATGCTGTTTCAGATTCTAATCGGTAAAATTCAATAGGCGATAGAACTCGTGAAAGTTTCTAGCTCATCAAGATCAGAGTTTATACAAATATACTTCTATACATTTCAATTTTGATTCAAATTCAATTCAATGTCAATTCTCAATTAGTTTTTGAAAATCCGTCGACGGGTTCCAAATTAGGAGAGTGTTGCGGGTTAAAATCGCACACACTGTATATATCAATTTTTTCATGATCATAATATATCTGAGATTATTCCTTCTCAATACTTTCATACCTAATGGAGGGGTTATAACAAAGAGGTGACTAACCTACTATTCTTTGGTTATAACTTGGACGATGGAAACTTTCTGTTTGGGTTCTCTCAATTCAGAATTTCTTTCCATGTCCTGTAAAATGAATTTCAATTTGTTATACATCCAAAAAACAGTAAACATACTCGTTAATACGAGGTCGACAAAAAAAATCGTATTCGGAACATAGTGGAAGGAGAAGATGGTGTGCCTACGCGCATATTATGTGACGTCATCTGGGATACCAATATCAATACCAAGTTCCTCGATCTGTTTAGAAATAATTCAATTTATATCAACAGGTACCTATTCCTTCGATTTTACTATCGATATCATGCATTGCCAATTTCATCTGAATGATCCACTACTGTGTCGATTCTGACAGATTAAAATTCAGCAGTTAACGACGTTGACGTTGCTTCTGCTTCGACATCGACAACAGGAGTATCAATTTTTGCCATTTTGTTATTCAAATCTTTGCTGCAATTTATATTTTGCAATTATTTCTGACTTGATATTCGGAAGATGTTCTGTAGGAATGCCATCTTGTTTCAAATATTTGTGATTTTTTGGAGGTGTGTAATTCAAGAACCGAACTTTCGCACTTGTTTGGGAATATTTTGCGTGGAAATATTTTGAACAAATACGTGCTGTAATATGAATGTGATGATAATATGATAGGTGAATACTTTGGAATGAGGATATAAAGAATATAAGGTAGGTACCATTATTTGAGTTAATATTCTGTCGGCAACAAGCTCCCATCGTTTCATTGGGTCTCCATTCTTGGAAAAGCAGAAAAATTCAATGACTGTGCCTTTTGTATGTTAGTTGGAATTTCCATTACCAGAAACAACACTAGTAGGCATCTCGAAAATATTTCATTCAATTTTTATTTAAGTTCGAGACATCAATCACGAAAACAAATAATAACAATGACAGTTATATCCCTGCTGACGTCATGCGCAGAACAAGACAAGTTTGAGCTTTTTGTTGATCACACCATCTTCTCCTTCCACTATGTATTTGGAAGAATTATCAGTGATTTCGTTTCTCCCATTCCTTCCAGACTCCCATCAAGGGCACCATCAACCCATACGACCCGCACAACTACGACGAGCAGTACTCGGAGGAGTACGGCGGCTGGGGGGCGGAGAACGGCGGTCAATCCGGCGGCGGTGGCGGGGGCGGCCATCAACGTCGCGGCGGCCACGACGGCCCTCGCGGGGGACCGCCCGGCAGGGGCGGGTCGAGGGACGGGCCTTCGGGAGGCAGCAGGTTCGGGAGCGGCGGAGGAGGAGGAGGTAGGGGAGGCGGCATGGGTCGCGGCGGCGGTAGAGATGCGTTCGGAGGTGGCGGCGGTAGAGATGGGTGAGTGTGGAAAGTGTTTTGGGTTAGAGAGTAGATGTTGATTCAGCTCAATAGCTATTACATTACACTTGATTAACAATAATTGATACTTTTTTGAGAACATAAACAATCCTATTGAATATTCAAGTACAGATGGTGATTTTTTTATAGGCAAATCTTGCTAAGGAGTACGCCCTCTACTGTTGTCTAATATAACTAACGTATGGGCCGCTGATAGTACTGGGTGGTTAAATTTGAAGGGCCGATGTTGATTTTGAATGAAACAAATTATTTAGGAAATTATTGTTATTTTTTCTGTATACTACACTGTTTTACCACTAACCAAACCGATTTTATAAACGCCTCGACACGTGTTTCGCTAACTATGTTAGCATCTTCAGGAGAAGATTAAAACTGTTTGTCCGATGGTCCAAATTTTTGATGACGCTGAGGCATAATTGAGGTTCTATACCGTTAATGTGCCGAATTATCGTATCCTTGAGCTTTTCAATTGTTGTTGGCTTATCGTCGTACACCTTGTCTTTCAAATAACCCCATAGAAAGAAGCCCAATGGTGTCAAATCACATGATATTGGCGACCAATTCACATCGCCACCACGTGACATAACACGGCCATTGAATTTGTCGCGCAAAAGAGCCATTGTGTCCATTGCATCCACATCCATATCTTCCAATTCGGGCCATAAAAAGTTATCATCGCACGATAGCGAACACCATTCACAGTAACTGCCAGACCGGCCTCATTTTGGAAAAAAATACGGCCCGATGATGCCGACAACCCATGAAACACACCAAACCGTCACTCTTTGTGGGTGCATTGGTTTTTCGATAATCACTCTTAGATTACCATTCGCCCGAATGCGGCAATTCTGCTTATTCACGAATCCACTGAGGTGAAAATGTGCCTCATCCACTGTTGCCATTTCTTGCCATCATTCTGACCATTGACGACGTTTGGCATGGTCAAGAGGCTTTAGTTATTGAGCCAATTGCACCTTGTAAGCGTGTAAATGCAAGTCTTCATGCATAATGTTCATCAAGCGAGCGTGAGAGGTGCAATTGTTGGGCATGACGACGAGTTGTGGTGGACGGCTCTTCAGCCACACTATTGCAAACAGCAGCAATATTTTCTGCAGTACGAGGTGTAGGAGCATGCACTGGTGTTTTCACATCTACAGATCCGGTTTGCTCAAATGTTTGCAAGATTTTTCCAACTGTACGCACTTTTGGACGATTAAATTGGCCGAAAAAAATCACCAAGTTCACGATATGCATTTTGATTTGAACGCCCATTTTCATAAGCCTGAATAACTTTAACGTGTTGTTCAATTGTGTATCTTTCCATGGTTCAAATTGAGTTAGTCTGGAATAGAGAAATATCAAATTAAATACAGAAAACAACTTGACGTTTAGGTGTGGTTCACATTCAACATCGGTCCTTCAAATTTAACCAACCTTTAGTTGTGTATTAATTAGTGACTGAAAGGCTATGCCAATACAAATTCATAGGTATATAATTTGTGATTTAACTGTTCATAGAATTCAAATAACCTTGTTTCACTTCATTTTTCATTGTTCTGGGACCTGAAGAGGATGATTTCATTATGCTGAAGAATATAGGGTATCTCATTGATGGTACCACAAATCACTCATAGAGAACATACAATAATAAATCAAATTGAATGGCCTTTCCATAAGAGTGCTCCCATTTAAACTTCTCATAGAGCTTTTAGAATCAATTCTTGATGGATTAACAACAAACAATTTATCATTTGAAGATAATATGTTTTTACATCCTCTGAAAAATCTGGCACAGTGTTTTCAACAGCTTCATCTGAAAGCGAGAATCAAGATTTAATGTCGGTTTTGCGTTAGGTATAAAATCTAACCCTGAATTCGGTAAGAAGAAAACCATCCCCTGACATTAATTGAACAGATGTTCAGATGAAGGCCATTCCAAGTTTGGAAGTCTGACTGAATCCCAAGTCTTTGTAATTTGATTCATGAAACCTCCAGCTTATGTGATAGGAACAGATATGCATCACAATTATTTTAGATAGGTATTTATGGAACTTTTAACTTCGACCTCATGTTTAACAAGAAGTTATGCAGTCTTGAACACATCACTTCACAATAATCAAGTATAATAACCAACAATCTAATGATAATATTTTTCACTTTTCGAAAATAAATTCAATGACAAGCAGTCACAAGTAACTGCAAAAAAAACTGGCAACGTTTCATTGTTTGTAAACAAACCGATGAAACTGGAATTAGTATGATTTGACCCATATTTCAATGCCCATGTTTTGTTCAGAAATTTGCTAAGAAACTATAGGGTCTCGCGTTGTAGTCGTAAGTTATTGACCTTTTAACCTTCATTCTCTTGCGTCATTCTGTCAAAAAACTAAGAATTTTGACGCCAAGTGTGATTGCTGATTGCATTCGCTATAACCTGGCTATAACCTATGACGAACAATCATTAGGAGTCATGAAGTCATCCTCAACAAAATGTTTGGAATAAACTCTCATGTTTTTGGTAACCCTTCTTCCTATTTTCAATTTGATCTCCCACAGTTTCTTCCTATCAACCAAAGTCGCTATTTCTGATTCTAGGCATTCAGGTACACCACAATTTGCTCTGCTGGTCATTTTCACTCCTATAAAATTAATAATCACTTAAAAAACAACTATTATCATCACACAAATGCACAATGCAGTGTGTAAACAAACAATTCACACTTGCTGGTCACATGATATTGATGCGAGTTTTTTCCGTCAGATGGCGTATTGCTTAGCATTAAAAGTCAATAAAGATTGTGAGTTCCGTGAGTAATCCTCGAAAAGACTTCCGACATTGACGTTTCCTCTTCAGTTTCCCCAGCCGCCTATCGGGCGGTACCCGCGGCGGAGGCGGCGGCAGCGGCGGTTTCGGCAGCCGCGACAGTTTCAGCAGTGGTGGCGGCGGCGGCAGAGACAACTACGGCAGCGGCGGCAGAGACAACTTTGGTAGTGGCCGCGATAACTTCGGAGGCGGTCGGGACTCCTTCGGGAGCGGCGGTGGGGCGAGAGACAGCTTCGGCAGCTCGTCCGGAGGCGGTTTCGGAGGTGGGGGGTCGAGCGGCGGGTCTTTCGGCGCCGGCAGGGGGCTTGGAGGAGGTGAGAGAAGTTCTGACGTGATATACCGGGTGATCCACGGTGGATGGCCTATTAGAAATATCTGGAGAACGGAAAGACAGAACATTCTGAAAATTGGAATGCTTTGATAATTGAACATTCTTTATCCGTCTAAAATATTTTCATCGATACAGTGTTGCCACTTCTATCAGAAAAAACTAGCAACTTTGTTGTTTCAAATGGAACAACCTGTATTTTATTGCATTTCCAGGTTCTTCCTGAAGATCTGATTTCAAAATCGAGATTTTTCAATTTCAGGTTTTTTCTTGTGTCAAAACTTTTCATTATCGATCAAAACGCCTTACATGTCCCTATCTTTCTTTCGATTCACTATCTACTGGAATTTTATTGGATAAAATACAGGGTGCTTCAAGATCATAATTCTGATCACCCTGTATCTGCTCCAATTAAATGTTAGTAAATAGTGAATCGAAAGTTGAAATAGGGCCATGTAAGCCGTTTTGATCAATAATGAATAGTTTCAACACAAAACAATCGTAAAATTGAAAAATCTCGATTTTGAACACCCTATATCTCTGTAATCTTTCCTGCTAGACCCCAAGTGTGATGCATTGATGAAATCAGCTCTTCAGGAAGAATCTCAAAATGCAATGAAACACAGGGTGCTCCATTTAAAATAACGAAGTTGCTAGTTGTTTCTGATAGAAGTGGCAACACTGTATCCATGAAAATATTTTAGATGGATAGAGAATGTTCAATTATCAAAGCATCTTTTCGTTCTCCAGATACTTCTAATAGGCCATCCACCGTGGAACACCCTGTATAATGATAAAACCTTATATATTTATTCTGCAACCGACTCAAAAGTCGTTCATTTCAATTCCAAACTTCGCTCTTGAAGTTGACGTTTCTATCACTTACAAAAAGAGGTGTGTTGCTAGGCAACACCTTTAGTTCCTAGGGGCTAAAGTTGAACTTCAACTCCCAGGAACTAAAAAGGCTGTACTAGAAACTCGAAACACAATTACATAGTCAGTTTTTGTTATCTATATTGAAAATACAATACGAACATCCTTGACAATTGAATAAACCTGATCTGTAAATGAATCCACAATATTTTTTCAATTAATCACTTCAGAGAAAGAAAAAATAGTTGGTGAATTTCGTAAATCATCCATATTTCTCAAAGTGGTCCAATTGATTTTCATAAGAAAAAACAATGAAAGTCCCATAGTAATGTTGACCACGAAAAATTATTTAATATAAGTAGTGTAACTAGTTTCGGCCATAGGCCATCATCAGACACAACATTAATGTATTCAAAGTACGTCAGTAATACATATCAACAGCAAAAAATTCAATGAAAAAGCCAAGGTCGAAATTCAAAATATTTGCAATGCATTGTATTTTGCATAACCTGATGAATCTCACGTGAGAGAATTTTTTTGAAACTTTTTGATTGAATCGTGCCACAGCCGTCTTCAACTATCAAGCCGTGCTGAGATAATGGCAACGTCGCACGAACAGAAACCGTCGGTCCCATTCGCGCCTAGCAATACAATGTTTTTTTTTATGAGCGCGAGCTTTGAATGTTTGGTTTAACGTAATTTTCTCGGATTATTTTGTCGAATAGGTAAAAAATACACGAGAGTGAACTTACAGAGTGGAGAACTAGGAATAATGTGGTTGAATAATTCCCTTGGTCATGAACTGAAGCCGTAATTTTCTAGCTAGAATATTTTCAAGTTGTGACCATCTATTCAATTTCATATCATGAGTAAGAATCCATTTCAATTATTCATTGAATCCAAGTTTATTATCACCAAGAAAAACTTGGACCTCCACCTCATTGGATATTATAACTTGAGAAACGATTTGTAAAGTATTTGCATCATTGGGATAAAAAACATTTGCTTGCAAATCTGATTCATAAAAATACAATTTATCATCAGTCTTATGGATTTTCCAAGTATCAATTTTAACTTTCTCAACATATTCCCTAACTAACTGTTCATAGTTGCGGATGAGGTCTGATTTTTCAAACTGTTCTATTATATTACTTTGAATATCTAAATATTGCTGACGTCTTTCATTTGGATCAGTTCTTGATGGTTTGGCTGGTTTTGAAAAATATTTTGGTGAATTTGGAAAAATTGAAGGAACTGCTGTTTTGACTAACTTTGGTGCTCGTAACAAATTTTTTCCAATTGATCCATCTGGCAGAGGGAACATACCTGATGATATCTTTTTCAATAAAATGAATTGCACATACTGCAGAACGTTGAGATGGTGTCCAGTTTTTTCGAGGTATTGCTGTTTTCCACTTACTTTGCAATTCTTCTCCTTTTGGGAATAAAAAAACTGAGACATGATCCTTTCCCAGCTTTTTTTCAGATCTGTAATTTGACTTACATCCTGGCACACAACAATGAGAAGGCATATTTTATGAGGAATAATGAATTACTTACTTATTTCCAGGAGTAAATTGAAAAAACAACACAAAATCCCTTGCAAATACACCAGCACTAGTACACTTCACTATAACCTCCAATTCAACACAATTTTGAATGCACTTGCCGAACACTTTCAGTCTCGAGTCGATTCCTAGATTGTTGCTAATACTTTTAAATTATTTGATCTCAATATTACACCAAATAATAGTCGAAAACTTTAACAAAACCTTTCATAAGCTCCTTGTTTACTTTGCCACACACTTTCAGTCTCGAGTCGATTCCTAGATTGTTGCTAATACTTTTAAAATTATTTTATCTCAATATTACACCAATTAATAGTCGAAAACTTTAACAAAACCTTTCATAAACTCCTTGTTTACTTCCTACACAATACACTTTGAATGGCCGACAGGTGCACTATAGATTGCAACGTTCGGTCGTTCGGACAATGTTGCCAAGTTTCATCTTCATGGCTTGATAGTTGAAGACGGCTGTGATCGTGCTAATGTATCTATTTATGAATATAAATGCTGATCTGGTTTTATTGGACTTTTTCCAGATTTGAACCTATTTCAAATTCAGGCCTGATAATTTGAATCTCGACCTTGGCTTTTTTATTAAATTTTTGCTGATAATATGTATTACTGAGGTACTTTGAATACATAAATTTTGTGTCTGATGATGGCCTGTGGCCGAAACTAGTTACACTACTTATATTAAATAATTTTTCGTGGTCGACAGACTCTGGGACTCTTATTGTTTTTTCTTGTAAAAAAACTTATTACATACTATCCGACGTTAATTATTATTGAAACAAAGTCCTGTACCGTGGACTAGATCATTGGAATTTTTTGTGAAGGTTTGAAAAGAAATGTTCATGACCTAACTTGAAAAAATGCAATTTCAATCGAACTGGTTTCAATCTGTTTCACGAACACAGGTAGCGGCGGCGGCGCTTTCGAGAGGAACGGCTGGAGCGGAGGCGGCGGCGGCGGGGGTGGCTCCTCCAACCAGTTCGCCTCTCCGCCGCCCAACATCCTGCCGGGCGGTCTCGGCCTCGGCCAGTCGAGCGGCTCGCTAGGAGGCGGTCTGGGAGGCGGCCTGGGAGGAGGTCTGGGAGGCGGTCTGGGTGGCGGCGGCGGCGGCTTAGGAGGCGGCGGCAGATCGGACAGCGCCGGCAAGACCACCACGCAAGTCACCATACCCAAAGATGTAAGTGGCGATGGGAAAGTTTATAGTATTTGGATTTATAATTTTTTCTACTAGCATAACTAAAATATCATTTTTCTGCAACCGACACAAAAGTTGTCCATTTTGATACCAAAATTATCTCTTAAATTGACGTTTCTATTACTGACACAAAAATAGGTATGTTGCTAGGCAACATATTTTGTTCCTAGGAGCTAAAGTTGAATTTTAGTTCCTAGGAGCTAAAGTTGAACTTAAGCTCCTAGGAACTAAAAAGGATCTACTCGACGTCATCAAGAATAAACAACATTGTGACGGTTGGTTATTTGGGTTGAGACGCATACGCATATGATTTGTTTCCGACTTCAGCAGATTTGGCATTTCATACCCATGCTGGAGAAATAAATACACCTTATTATAGTTTAGTATTGGAATTATAAACATCTCAGTTGAGAATTTTTGTTTTGATCAGGGAAGCCTTTAAGATTCAAATGCTTGCTTGATTTGCTTGCTGTATTTCATTCGTTATTCTCGGGATGGATAACTTGTTTTTGAATAATCACGGCAAGCAATAGTTTTTTTGTCTCAAACAACGATATTGTTTAGCTTCATTTGATTATCAAGTCAAACACAGTGTATCATGGAGAGGAATAAATAATCACTATCATCATTGTTAACTCAGATTGTTAATATGCTCACTAACCTAACATTTTCCACGTCTTGTTCCTATAGCTGGCACTGGCGCGGTATTTGCCATTAGAGCACCTGGTCCATACACAAATATGTCACTCTGTAGTTGTATTTATATTGAAACTACAATTCGAACATCCTATAGAAAACGCAAATTTTGCTTTCGCTCGGCTTCGCTAAACGCTCCGCCTCGCAAATGCAAAATTCGCTTGTCAAACAAAGTGTCACTTTTGATCCTAATAAAACAATCTACTATTAGCTTACAGCGTGCGCCGCTTAAATGGAACCCCCTCCTAACTCTTTTGTTTTCAGAGATGTGAAAAAATGTTGAATCAAAAAGTTGTTTGAAATGACCCAAACTTTTATTTCGTGAAGTTGCTTCATATACAGAGTCATTCGTTTTTCCGGAAAGGACATTAATTTTGATTTTTTCTATGGAACACCCTATATATTTTTTGACATGTCGATAGACCTTTTTTTTTTAATTCAAAAATATATATGAGATGCATATTTGGATGAGAAATAATTCAGTTATTGATTATCAAAGTTTACCAAAATACCGAATCTTCCATTCAAACTGTCTATTCATATTTTTTTGTATTGAGATTGAACGATTTCAATTTCATTATAAACAATACTATGACATTTCCATGGAGCTTGTATAATATATAACGTTATTTCAAAGCCCACTATATTCATCTTATGAAGTCTCAATCTCAACTAATTTTCATCCAAATATGCAACTCATATAGATTTTTGAAATCAGAGGAAAAGGCTCTATCGACATGTCATAAATTTTATAGGGTGTTCCGTTGAAAAAATCAAAGTTGATATCCTTTCTGGAAAAACAAATGACCCTGTATATGAAACAACTTCACGAAATAAAATTTTGGGTCGTTTCACACAACTTTTTCATTCAACATTTTTTCATATCTCTGAAAACGAAAGAGTTTAGGAGGATTCCATTTTAAGAGACGCACCCTGTACCAATATGTACAGGGTGATTCGCGATAAATGCCCCCTCCCCTCTAGCTCAGTTATTTTTGAACCGATTGCATTTTTAGATTCTCCCTGAAAAGCTGATTTCATCACTGTATTATACTTGGATCGCTACCGGGAATGACTATAATTATAATTTAATAATTGGTAAAGACACAGGGTGATCAGAATTCTAAATCAATAAGGGTGTCCCACAAGGCTCTGTTTTAGGACCTATACTATATTTACTTTATGTACAAAATATCAGTAAAATTGATCTAGCCTGTAAATATACCATGTATGCAGATGATACAGTACTTTTATATGAAGGCAAGAATCCATCAAATTTAGAAAATATGATAAATGAAGACTTGAAAATATTTGAAAAATGGCTCCAATCTAACCTTTTATTGCACATGTCAGAACAAAACAGATATATCAATCGAGTTTGTACAATTAAAGTCTTATAAAATGCCACAAATGTATTCAAATTTAAAATGAAAACAAATGAGAATTGTATCAGAACATATGGGTTTTTTCAATTTTGTTTTACGTGTAGAATACACACCTGGAGTTTGGTGCGTTCCTCGCGACTCACCCCGTATTTTACTTGATTTAATAAAATAATAATCACATAAACAAATAAATGAAATAATCCTGTATGGAGTTGATACAACCTCTATCTTTCAGCTCGCTGGTGCTATCATCGGTAAGGGAGGCGGCAGAATAAGGAAGATCCGCATGGATTCCGGGGCGAACATCACCATTGACGAACCGCTTCCCGGATCCAACGATCGCATCATCACCATCGGTGGTACGCCGAATCAGATACAGATGGCGCAGTATCTGTTGCAGCAAAGGTGAGTCGAGGAATTGTGCTTGAATCTTGGTCTTCGGGGTCGTTTTTTTTATCAAAATTCAACCTAGTACAGTAAAGTGTTACTGATAAATGAATGTATCATAAATATAGGGTGTGTAGCATGTAATACTTTAGCAGTAGATTCCACGACCATGTTCAAGTGAACATTAAACGTAAAATGGCTCCTAAGGAAGTTATGTCCTATTATATTATAGAGGCTTGCCAGAAAATTTTTCATTGCTATTGTTCGGAATATATATCATCCTGTATTCTTAGTGATATGATTGTTAGGACATTGATGTTTATTTCAGAGATAATAAAGTTGTCAATGAAATTATATCACATTGATTTATTATTATAATTATTTCTAATACATATTGAGTATTAAACATGGCGCAGTCGGTAGGATACGAACCTACGCAAATAGTGCAAAGTAGGAGGTTGAGAACAAACAGATAAGAAATTGACACCGAAAGTTAAAAAGCATATTTATGAAAAATTACAAGAACAACAATTAGCTCAAAAAGAGAGATATGATGAACGTGCACGTAGATCACCTATTGATTATGAAAAAGGAGATGATGTAGTGATAAAAACGAATAAAGAAAAGTATTGGCAAAAGGGGACCATTCTTGAAAAAGCGAATGAACCGAGATCATATTGGGTTCGGAAACACAGTAACAATAAGATAGTGCGCAGAAATATAATTCACATAAGGCCATCTAGAGCCAAGCCCAGTTATCAGGATAGGGAACTACCACCTGAATTAGATTTTGACCATTTATCCGACCATGGTAACGTTCCTCGGAACATTCAGGACAATTTTCGGAATGTAGTTCGTACACCATTGCATGACGATAATGACACTCCAGTACCTAACTTAGAGAATCAAAGAATATCTAGATTCGGTAGAAGAATCAGGTCTCCCAGACGCCTAAATCTTTGAGCTAGTTTGTTAACATGATTTCTCAAAAAGGAAGGTGTTCGGAATATATATCATCCTGTATTCTTAGTGATATGATTGTTAGGACATTGATGTTTATTGTTGTTGTTGTTCTTTATTACCCCAAGAAACATATTTGTTTATAATAGGGATACATAAACATATGAAATTATATCACATTGATTTATTATTATAATTATTCCTAATACATATTGAGTATTAAACAGCTATTACGGGAATATTATATTGCAACGTTGTTTAATTGAATTATAGATCTTGTTGTCATCAAAAACGTAATGAAAACTGTTTCTAGGATTGATTAATATTTACTCATAACAGGCATAGCTCAGATTTTCATTGTGGCAATGATAAACAATATTGAATCTAATTTTTATTGACAGGGAAAAATCGTGCAAGCGCAAATCAACTTAATTAAAGGCCATTCAACAAAAATTATGCAAAATGATAGCTTGTTTTGTTGTTCTGATTGGTACAGCTTGACCATTTTAGCTTGGCCTCTGAGAATTGGATGCGCAGTAGACCAGTCGGCGGAGTAGGGCGAGAGCTCATCATTGTCGAGGAATTGGTTCAGGGAACATCGGTTAGAACAGTACAGTACGATTGTACTGCCCAATAACAAGGCGTAGTGGATCTTTGTCGCACAGTAACCATCTCTGTTTATCGTTTGCGCATCTCAGGGGCCAAGCTAGAATGGACAAGCTGTATGTAGTCTATTCGAATCGCCCATACGTTTTTATGCGTTGTGTGCATGTTTTTTTTGTCGAGGAATCTTCTGCCAAAAGTATTGCACGCTAATAATGGTACACCATGTATACATCAAGTTCGTTCCGCATTTTTTGGGTGTTGGTGGAATTATCAGTGATATAGAAATTGTGAAAATCTGAATATCCTAAAATGCCTCTTCATTGAATTTTGTTGCAAATATTTCAAACCCTGAGAAAGCTGGACGTATACTATTGGCAAATAAAAAAATATAGGGATCAAAATTAAATTTGGGGTTTGATCCCTTTTTCCACCCAAAGTTCTACACTGTAGCAATACTTACGTCACCTCTGTTCAACTTTCCGTTCAATCATTTTAATTGTTTTAAAGTGGCGTACTTGATTTTTTTCTCATTTTTTGTTCAAATTTCGGGATGAAATTTCTCGTCAATAAGAAGAATTATAAAAAATCTGGGAATATTCATTAGACTGTATCATATGGATGTGCTGAATATGTGTACTTATTTCAAAAACACCTCATATTGCAAAATCCAGTATTTCGAATTGTTGCTTCATGAAATGTTTTGAGTATTTGTTTCATTGTAATCAAAAATATTTTGGAACTGTCCAAAGAGCATCACTCTATCGAAATGCTTGATTTGGAGAATTAATAAATGTATGGAAATGAAGGAATGGATCAGTGGCATTTATTCTTCTATTATCTGACAAATGTAATTTAATTGAAAACAGGAAATATTTTATAACATTTGAGTAAGTGAGCCACACTTGAAGTGTCTTTTCTTGTCTTGCAATTCAACATTTTTTCTCAGATAAAGATAATGTTAGCAATTTTCTGATCCATCCATTTTCATGTATTTTCTGGGAACTCTGTGTTGTGGTGGGCGAGGCTTTGGGATTTAATAGGAGCTTTCTCCAAATGTCCATTGATTTTTATTCTAATATATCCCATTGGAATCCGGTATCTCATCCATATCATTTTATACTGATACACATGTTTATTTTAGCAATTTGAAAGCTATTTGAAAAACAAACATGTGTTGAAAGCGGAATTTCATTATGTGAGGGAGAAGTATTGTGAAAGAAGCCAGTGGAGAAACCCCAGGAACAAAATATTATATCTGATATTCCTGATATGAGGGCAAATGAAAATGATTTGAAATTAGTGTGTTCCACCATCTTTCACATTAAACTAAAAACGTAATTTTAGTGACAGTTATATTGCCTAGAACAAAAAAAAAATATCCCCATTCATTTACTTGATCACTGATTGAATTTTAATTTTAATAATAGGTAGTGCACTGAGTATGCTTCAATCACATTTTATCCTAGAGATTTCATTATAATTTGAACTATTTTGTAATCTTGACAACAATGGTAGAAAGCTCCTACTTGACCTCAAATGTCTATTGTTTTCAAAGTGTATATTGTATATTGTGTAAATTTCTTCAACTTACCTAATATTTATTTACAGTGCGAATCTGTTCATTGGTTCCCAAACGAGACGCTAACAATTTTGATCGGTAAAGTTTGATTTATGCGTTGTGGAGACTCAGTCTGCTTCAACTGAAAATGTTTATAATGAAAAAATATACACCATTATTTTGGAATTGATTCTTCTGAATCATCCCATATCCATGGTATAATCATTTTCACATGAAGCTAATGAACATTCATATTCTTGTTCTGTGTCTATACTAATGGGTTACCACTGATACAACAAGTCCAGAATCCTCTAACATAGTTATAGTCTGACGTCAGTAAATTCAGGTTATCTTCTAGGATTGTTCATGGAAAGCAGTCACTTATATCCCATTCATTTTGTTTGTTCGAGCATCAAATTAAATTCGTCTCTTTGGTACCAGTTGTTTCATTGAAATAAATACTGTTATTACTTATTCATTTCATGTTGTGATAGGCATGATAATAGTGTCTCATACTTGTTCTGAATCAGAGTGCCATGGGAATTATAAGAATCGAAAAAATGTTCCAAACATTCATGTGTTCAGTATTCCCACTCAGGGAGTATATTCTCGATTCCAATCGTATGACAATTTCTCACATTATGCCACATAAAGTCCAACTTTTATTTTCGTAAATGGATTGAATTTTAATGATCGGAGAATAGAAATATCATTGAATGGTCACTTGTCCTTGTCTGGTAATGATGAATGCTCAGATCAGTCTAATGATAAATATTGTTGATAACGGGGCAATGTTTTTCCTTTCATTTTTTGTACGTATCATCATTGATTCAGGAACATTTCGAAAAGCTAGCTAATTTGGCTCAAAATATAATCTACAACTCAAATTGGAGTACCTGGTCGCCTGTAGTGGCACCATAAAGAGCGTGGCCGTCTGGATCTACTGGTAAACCTACCTCACGTGACGTCACTCAGCATGTAGGCCTTGTTGTATCAGTGAAAACGACTAATGTTAATGTTTGATGCAGTTATTGTGGAATTGGTACTGAATTTCATTTGCCTGACAAACATCCTAACATGTATCAATCCATATAGTTTGTTTTAAAATATTCTTATTCATCTTCAGGCGTTTGAGATTCAATACTGAGTAATCATTACAGTTTTTCCGCATCAATAAACTAGGTGTCTACTAATTATGCGTGGAAGTGTGGATTTCAGATTTTTTCACTAACAGGGTGGTGTTGTGTGGAAGACTAGTGATTTTGTTGTTCTGTTTTGATTAACAAGGAATCACTAATCATCCCACAAAGCTATCTGCTTCTTCAGGATCTTCACGTGCATCTTCTACTCATTTTTTATGTGTGTGAATGTGAATGATTTGTCTTCCTAGCAGGCAGAAATCGCTCTTAATATTATGTACACAATGCAAGTTGTCCCAAATCATCGAAAAAATCGTCTTTTTTTAGACAGCTTGAATCAGTCAGGGGTTATCTCAATTTTTATTTGTTTGGGTGAAAACAAATCCAGCAAAAATTGAAAGTGAAATTGAGGTATTCTTTAGAAAAAAACGACTGTAACACATACTTTTTCAAGTTGATATATATTTTTTCATCCATTGTGCATACTGTATACACTTTTTGAAACTCATTTCCCCATCACATAAAGATTGTGTTCATTTAGAATAAGCTTCTTCAAATCCAAGTGAAAGTAAAGAAATTAATTTTGGCTCTTGTGCATTCAAACCTAACTAAATATATTCAAATTTTGAAGTGACTTGGCCGTTACTTGATAGAAATCCATAGTAAATGTAGTAAATTTCACAAATGATAAGATTTTCGCAAAATTTTCAATAGCAGAAACCTGTGAAGAAGAAATATAAGAATTTCAATGGATATAGTTGGGTCTGGATGATCAATTTATTTTTCGATATACACTCTCCGACAATAAATTCCGGACAGTGAAATTTTTAGCAAAATTGTTTGCCCTGTAACTTTCGTAATCCTCTTTCGATTTCGATGAAATTTCGACCAAAGCGTAGTAATATATTCCGCAAAATCAGCTTGATATTTTTTTCCGAAAAACATCTATTGTCCTAATCATTATACAGGGAAAAACAAAAGTAACTTTTTTACCCTCAACTTCTTAACGCTGTGTGGCAAAAGTGAGCAATTAAAATCAGTTTCATTATGTTTAGTATTGTAAGTGGGATCCTTTCTCAATACATCTGTTCTTTGATTCACGTCAATATCTTCTTTTCAAGACAAGATGCAAAGGTTTCAAGAAAGTATGGCATATTTGATTTTTATCAACAATATTCCACAACCTACGTGAACTGGTCTTTGGTTGCATAGTAACATTTAAAGTATTGTTTAACAAAGTGTCAGTATTCTGCCATTCCATAATAAACTGTTTTTTTTTGTGTGTTGAAAATGAGATCCGAGAATGTTGCACGTGCTGTTGCCTTGAATGATAATGGTCGCAGTATAAGGTATATTGCAGAATACTTAGGCACAGTAAAAAGTACTGTACAAGATGCGATTAGTCGGTTTCGTCAGACTGGTGAGTACATATGACGTAGGGGATCAGGTAGACCACGTGTTACCAATCAACGTGATGACCATCTCATCAATCTAACAGCATTATGGGGAGGAGTATCATTAAATGATCGTACGAACCTGGTGCTCATAGAAAATGGTTCTTTAACTGCTGATCGTTACATCCGACAATGTTTAGCTGAACATGTGGTACCCTTTGCGGCTTTGTTGGGCAAAACTTTATTCTAATGCAAGATAATGCCAGGCCTCATGTTGCGCGAATCGTGACAGAATACTTGGACGAGGGAAATATCCGGCGATTATAGTGGCCCACGCGTAGTCCCGACCTGAATGCTATTGAGCACGTTTGGAACATGCTGGGTAGACGTGTTCGCAATCGCCACCCAAAAACATAACTGGATTTGCGGACAGTCCTCCTAGAAGAATGGGGAAATATTCCGCAAGAGGCCATCGACAACTGCATTGAGAGTATGCCTCGTTGCATAGAGGAAGTACTAAGAAAACGCGGTGGCAATACGCGATATTGATTTTCAGTTGTTTGTTTTTCATTTTAAGTTGTTAATGTTTTTGTAATTCCTGAATAATTGTTGATGAATACAGTGTGTCCCACTTACCATGCTCACCATGGGTATCTTTTTAACGGTGAGAGATACGAGGTCGGTTAAATGACACCAAATGTGGAGTTTGTCAAGGCCAACTATAATGTGAAAAAATATTTTGATAAAATCTATTCGTTTTTGTTTTATACGCAAAAAACAGATTTTGATCATTTTCATGTCTCCTCCGTTACTTCTTTATTTATGAAATTATTCAAATAAGAATTTCACATTCTCATGGAAGTTCTTCGAAGTGATTTCGAAAAAAATATGAAATTTTCACCAACTCTTCTAGAATTTGAGATACCAGCACCAACTTTGGTTTTTCAAATGTAGGTCATAGCTCACTATGACTTAGTTAAAAATAACTTTTTTTTCTCTTACAGATGATATGTCGCAGTAATAGTTTTGTGTTGATAACAACGGAGTTATCGTCATGTATACAAAAGCAAAAAATTATTTGGAAGCCGTCATCTTGAATTCATAATTTTTAACAAGAAAATCATGATCTCCGACCTCAAAAACCCCCACTTAACAATTTTGAATGGAATCGGACCAAATCATGTCCGCCATCTTGGAGCAGCCATTTTTTTTTAATTGATGGCGGACAAGATTCTGTCCGATTCCATTCAAAATTGGTAAGTGGAGGTTTTTGAGGTCGGAGATCATGATTTTTTTGTTAAAATTCATAAATTCAAGATGGCAGCTTCCAAATAATTTTTTTTTGTATAAATGACGGTAACTCCGTTGTTATCAACACAAAACTATTACTGCGACATATCATCTGAAAGAGAAAAAAAAAATTTGTAAATAAGTCATATGTCATTTTGCGAACATAATTTCACGCTTTGGTCGAGATTTCATCGAAATCGGAAGAGAATTACGAAAGTTACAGGGCGAACAATAATGCTAAAAATTTTACGTCCGGAATTTATTGTCGGGGAGTGTAGATTGCTCCTCAAATTTGTAGCAATATAATGGGTATTTGTACAAAATATATGTATTTTGTATAGAACACTTTATTCGAAATTTGTAGAATTGCACTTTTCCTTATATGTTCATCATCAGTGCATACAAATGTAAATTTTAAAAATGAAAAATTTCTATATTTACGAGGTTACTTACTCGTCAGGTTTGAAGAGAGACGTTTTTTAAAATCCATTTCTACAAATGAAATGTGACTAGGAGTTGAATACTAATATTTCTTTCTTTTTTCAGTGTACACAACAATACTGAGCGCAATAACTTCTAGAAATGAAGAGTTATGTAGGCCTATGAAGAAAATTAGAACCCACCAGACATCTGTGTAGATTGGTATAGTGGAATATTTTTTATCCATCAAACATGTATTTTTATAGCTGGAATCGGCATATTATTTTTTAACATTCCATACTGATTTCTTTTTCATTGGCATTAAAAATCGAAATTCGGCTCTCAACTGTCGAGTTTGCAGAATCTTCCAATAGGCATCACTTTTAATTTTTATTCAATGAACTTTTACATTATACTGTTGTATGTATTGTATGGAATATAATTAGGATATTGGGTTCTTTAGAACCTCGTAGATTTTCTTCACAATTCTTTTTCTGTTAAAATTCAGAATTGTTTCGACGTAAGACGTAAGCTAACAATAAATTCTGGGACGCTCAGTATATAACTTGATGTATAGTACTAACAACCTTGTACTGTCAGAATATCTTCTGCCATAGAACAGTCCAGTACAAATTATAATCTTAGTTCTCTGGTCCAATCCCAAATATCAATGAGTTGTACATTTCTGTTAGGTTGAAAAATTTGCGGACTAAAATTATATCAGAAATTTCTTCCCGTGAAAGTAAAATGATTTCAATTATTGGATGTTTTGATAGTTTAGTTCAGATTCAAATTCTTCCTAACAGACCTTTGTAATGTCGTAAAATGTAATGACTTGAATGTTTATGTAAGAATAATATGTAATGAAAATGAATAATAAAGTATTTCACTACTTTCTGTTTATAATTTCCTACCACTTCGTGTATTCAGGGTGTTTATAAGTAAACGGAAATCCGTCAACAATCTCGGTATACCGGGTGGCTACGGAAGTATTGCCTACAGAATATCTCAGTTATTGTATGAAGTAGGTTTGTGAAATTTGGAGCGTCGATATAATGACATAAGAGCTAGAATTTGAGCATATTGACATGTCGAAGTCAACTTCCGGTCTGACCGGAAGTAACATCAACTTTCTTATTTTGAATGGAAACCCTATTTTTTTTTCTTTTCGCTTTATTCAGCATTCAATTCCCTTTCTAATGACATATCACAAGTTGGTATCTAACCAGAAACTAGATCAGAAAAAAATTATTATTGAAATTCACCGAGTAGGCCGTGGAAGCAAAATGAAAGCCAAAAATCGAAAAGTTGGCTATGGAAACCATACGTCACTTGATAACAGTTGCTACTACTGTGATATTTCATTTTCATTCGTCGGCGTTATGAAGAGCCGCAAAAAAAATATTGGAAAAATTTGGAAAAAAACAATCCTCTGTAGGTCCATAACTTGAATAGGAACATACAACTTTTTCTTGCCTGTACTATTCAGCATAACCATTCCTTTATAATGATATAATAGAAAGTCATTTTTTGGCTTTCATTTTGCTTCCACGGCCTATACTCGGTGAATTTCAATAATAATTTTTTTCTGATCTAGTTTCTGGTTAGATACCAACTTGTGATATGTCATTAGAAAGGGAATTAAATGCTGAATAAAGCGAAAAGAAAACAAAATAGGGTTTCCATCTAAAATAAGAAAGTTGATGTTACTTCCGGTCAGACCGGAAGTTAACTTCGACATGTCAATATGCTCAAATTCTAGCTCCTATGTCATTTTATCGACGCTCCAAATTTCACAAACCAACTTCATACAATAACTGAGATATTCCGTAGGCAATACTTCCGTAGCCACCCGGTATACCATATTTGTTCGGAGTTAATGACCTGAATATTATGTAGATTGTTTTTTAGTTTTTATCTATTTTTACTAGGGTCACAACTGAGAGTCAACTTGGTACAGTTTTCTGATCATCCAAGTGACTAACGATTCAATCATAAACATAAATGTTTAGGTGGAGATTGATAATTTTGGTAAAACACCTTGTATTATCGGATTTTTCAAATTCGAAAAAAAAAAAAAGTATAATCCGACGCACATTTGATTTAGTTGTAGTTGGCACAGCAGAAAGTCATTTTTGTTTATACAGGGTGAGTGGAAGTTGAACCACTAAACATTCGTTTTTGGAATACAGGAAGTCAAGTTTTTCTGAAACAAACCGTTTTTTCAATCAATTACTGAAAATCCTTTCCGCTGATTTTGATAAAATATCAAATTCATTGTATGGAAACTTAGTTTCCAATATACAGGGTGTCGAAGCTCTATTTTTTTTACCTATTATTTTAGTTGATCCACATTCTTCTAATTAATTATAATATATTATACGTGTTCATGAGATTTTCATCAAAATCTTTTGAGCTTAAAAAAATCTACAAATATTGTTCTATTCTATTATTCGTATAGGTTGATTTCATATATCATATATATTATTTTTTTCTAGGGCATTAAATTTCTTTGAAAATGATATACCTATATTGCTCGCAGAACTCAATCCTTTCCATATTTGTCAATATCAATATTACTGTTAATTAGAAACATATTATTATCATTATCACTATTATTTTCTATTATACTTATTCTGTGTGCTGCTTTATTGACTTGTCCTATAACTCTTGTAAGTTCCAAAGGATCAATAAATTGATTGATATACCGTTTATAAATACCAACTCACTTTTTGAGATCAATATACAGAGTAAATTTTGAAAACTATGTGAGTTATTTCTTTATTGGAAACAAGTTAATTTAAATATTTCGCCAGGAAACAAGATGATATACATACAAATATTATATATGTATAAAACAACTTAAGATTGAAAAGGTTCCTCTGGAAGGTTCTTTTTGAAAAAATCCATCACCGATGGTTTAAAAAATTATGTTAGTGGATTACAGGGAATAGATACATAATATATTGAATATGCCAAAAAAACATTAGAAAACACATTTCTGGAGATCCTCTGTTGTTATTTAATTCTGGAACTAATCTAATAGGAACTCATTACAAGTAGGAATAACCTTCTTCTGTTGATATACAGTGTCATTCATAAAGTCGGCATCATATGGGAAAAACTTGTATTGATGACTTATTTTGAAATTCGAGTTGGACGTTGAGTTTTGTTTCAAACAGATGAAAAATGGCCTACTCAATCCGGGTCACGTGACTTCCGCTACATGTCAAAAGTGACATTTTTTCAAATTAATCGCTGAAAGTAGGCTAATTTGTTCGAATATCGAAAACGTTTACTCGAAAAAGTTGTTACTATTCAAATTTTACATATGTGACTCGGATTTTATCTTTCTATTACATTTTTTAGATTTCGATATTTTTTAAAAATTTTCGAAATTTCTGTAATATTAAAAAAATTGTAAATTCGATGAAACTACTTCATACTCTAGTAGCTTCATCATGCTACTAACTTTCAATTACTAATTATCACTAATTATCGACAAAAATATGATTTTCTTCAGAAAATGATAATCCGCATCAAAATTCTGTTATGTTTGATGCAAACATAACATCAAAATTCTCTTATGTTTGAGTCAAGCATTTAGAAACTCAGTACTGAAATGCTTGACGATATAAGTATCAACTTTGCATCAAACATAACAGAATTTGGTAGCGGGTATTATCATTTTCTGAAGAAAATCATATTTCTGTCCAAAATCAGTGATAATAAGTAATTGAAAGTAAGTAGAATGAAAAATCTACTGGTATGAAGTAGTTTCGTGGAAGGAACAATTCTTCAAATATTACAGAAATTTCTCGAAAAAAAAAATCTAATAGTTGCAATAGAAAGATCAAATTCGAGAAGCATGTAAAATTGGAATAGAAAGAACTTTTTCGATATTCGAACAAATAAGCCTACTTACAGCGATTGATTTGAACAAATTTCACTTTTGACATGTGGCGAAAGTCACGTGACCCCGATTGAGTAGGCCATTTTTCATCTTTTTTGAAGCAAAACTTAACGTCCAACTCGAATTCCAAAATGAGTCATTAATAAAAGTTTTTCCCATATGATGCCGACTTTATGAATGACACTGTATAATTTCAAAGTAACCCTTATTGTTAAAACTGACTCTAGTACTAGAAACCAGTGAAAATAAGACATTCAGCAACTTACTATGGACCAACAGAATAGTCGTTTATTTTTCCAACTGAAAACCAAAGGGGTAAAAGGGGAGAATGTCACAATATGGTGGAAATTGTCCTGACACCGCCATCTGATAGCCATCTAATGCTCGATTGAAAATACGTACAGGGGATAAACACGGAATGTCCACATCTAAAAAACATTGAAGAAAGGGGAACGTCCAAGCTTATTGCTTGGTTTGATACAGGTTCCATAGTGATTTTATTTGTATATTGTTTGTTTTCAGACTGTCAAAAGTCGAGGAACATCTCGATCGGTACCTAGGGAGGATAGGGAGAGAGGTAGGTATTGACTGACGGGACTTGTCGAGTACGTCAGAAGTGCCATCCTGAAAAAACTTTTTTGTTACGAGTATTTGCCTAATTCACAGTTGCAACTGTTCTGCCCAGTTCACAGTTGCAACTATCTAAATTAGGCAGATAATTTTTTAAATACTGTCTGTAAGTTAATCCGAGGAGGGAGGTGGTATATTCATTTTACTCGATTCTTTGTGATTTTTTCTCTCCTCGTTTCTATAAAATAAAAGTATTCGTATTATTTCAATATATTTGTAGAGGGACAAATCAGATGATTTGCCCCAAAATGTCACTGCGTTTAACAAATTTTTCTATCAGGGAGTCTAAAAGAAAAATCCATGCAGTAGCTTGTCAGTGACAATTTGTTTGAAAAAATGTTTGAAGGAAAGAAATATAGATATATTGAAGAAATATCGAATTTTTACTTATCTTTGGACGTTTCGGGACCGAATCTGCTCCCGTTCTCAACATAAAATTGCAAAATATTTTTCTTCGAAAGTTTTGCTGCTTATAGTTTGACACTTTTCAGTGTCATGAAAATACAATGAGATCCATTATGACACTGAAAAGTGTCAAACTATAAGCAGCAAAACTTCCGAAGAAAAATATTTTGCATTTTTATGTTGAGAACGGGAGCAGATTCGGTCCCGAAACGTCCAAAGATAAGTAAAAATTCGATATTTCTTCAATATATCTATATTTCTTTTCTTCAAACATTTTTTCAAACAAATTGTCACTGACAAACTACTGGATTTTTCTTTTAGACTCCCTGATAGAAAAATGTGTTGAACGCATTGACATTTTGGGGCAAATCATCTGATTTGTCCCTCTACAAATATATTGAAAACATTCGAATACTTTTATTTTATAGAAACGAGGAGAGAAAATCCCAAAGAATCAAGTGAAAAGAGAAGTTTTTTTTTCAAAACACCTAATTTTGCAACTAGTAATTAGGAGATATTTGCCTGCCTAATTTACAGTTGCAACGGAAGATTAGTGCTAATTAACAGTTGCAACAGTAAATTAGACAAACGTTCATTCAGGATGGCAGTTCAGACGTGTCTAAAATTTTCTATCCATATCGCTTGACATTATTTATAGAAAATGATCAAATTATAGAGATGCTAGATGACAACTCACTGCTCATTAGGTAGTTTTGGGCAAGAATGGAGATATGCACCAGAAAGTAGATGATTGCCAGTAAACAATAATCCTTTTTTTTGACACTGTATTTGGACATTCTCGATTTTTTCCTGGAATCTTTGGAACTATTTGTTGTTATCGATGATTTTTCTCATTCGAATATGATTTTTATTCCTATATAGTTCAGTTGGTCAACTGTATTGTTCATATTATATACTCTATATTAAATGGATCCATCAGGTGGC